AGGTACATTGGTGGGCGAAGATGCAGGGCGCGACCTCCGGACTTTGGCTTCTCTCCTGCAGCGTGCGTGTGCGCCCCTGCATGCGTGTGCACGTGGCGGGGCTCCGTCCTCCGGTCCCCCAGCAGCACTCCCTGGGGTGGATGGCCTGGTGGCTTTGAGGGACGTCTCGGTTTCCAGTTTGGGGGGAATGTGAACTCAGCTGCTGTGAATGTTCGTGTCCGAGCCTTTGGGTGGATTCCCAGGAGTGGGGCTGGGGGTCCTGGGAGCTGATGCCCCACCTGCGGGGTCATGGCCCCCCTCCGCCGGCTCACCAGCACTGGGCCTTTGGATCTTGTTTCCGCCTTTGTAATAGGTGTGTGGTATCTAGCTCTGACTTTAATTTGCGTTTCCCTAATAGCTAATAATGTTGAGCATCTTTTCATGTGCTTATTTATTGCCCATATGTCTTTTTTGATGAAGAGTCTGTTGAAATCTTTTGCCCGTTTTTATTGGGTTGTTTGTTTTCATATTATTGAGATTTGAGAGTTCTTTATATGCTCTGGATAAGATCATTTGTTGAATATGTGATTTGCAAATATTTTCTCCCACTCTTAGCTTGTCTTCTCATTTTCTTTATAGTGTTTTTCGCAGAGCAAAGTTTTAAATTTTGACGACATCCAACTTATCGGACTTTCTTTTTCTATTCTGTTGATCTGTATGCCTTTCCTTTGTCAACAGCACTGTCTTGATGACTGTTGGTTTATAGCAAGTCTTGATGTCAGTGAGAGGTGCCCAGCTTACTTTGTTCTCCTTTTTCAAAGTGATTATTTTTTTTCTATCGAAGTGTAGTTGATTTACAATATTATATTAGTTTCAGCATAGTGACTCAATAGTTTCACAGATTATACTCCATGTAAAGTGACTGTAAATAGTGGCTATATTCTCTGTGCTGTACAATACATCCTTGTAACTTATTTATTTTATACATGGTAGTTTGTATCTCATTCCCCTATACCTATCTCTCCCCTCCCGCCTTCCCTCTCCTCACTGGTAACCACTAGTTCTCTATATTTGAGTCTGTTTCTGCTATATGCATTCATTTATTTTATTTTTTAGATTTCACATAAAAGTGGTAGAGTATTTTGTCTTTCTCTGCCTGACTTATTTCTAGGTCCACCCGTGTTGTAAATGGCAGAATTTCATTCTTTTTTATGGCCGAGTAATATTCCATTATATATATATATATATATATATATATATATGCACATATATATGTACACACACATATACATACATACATACCATGTCTTCTTTATCCTTCCATCTCTGAACGGACACCTAGATTGCTTCCGTGCCTTGGCAATTGTAAACAGTGCTGCTGTGAAAATTGGGGTGCATGTATCTTTTCAAATTAGTACTTTTGTCTCTAACCAATATATGCCCAGGAGTGGAATTGCTGGGTTATTTGGTAACTCTATTTTTAGTTTTTTGAGGAACCTCCATACTGTTTTCTTTAGTGGCTTCACCAATTTACATTCCCACCAACAGTGGTACGAGGGTTCCCTTTTCTCCACATCCTCTCCGGCATTTGTTATCTGTAGACTTTTTTTTTTTCTTTTTCTTTTTGCGGTACGCGGGCCTCTCACTGTTGCGGCCTCCCCCGTTGCGGAGCACAGGCTCCAGACGCGCAGGCTCAGTGGCCATGGCTCACGGGCCCAGCCGCTCCGCGGCATGTGGGATCTTCCCGGACCGGGGCACGAACCCGCGTCCCCCGCGTTGGCAGGCGGACTCTCAACCCCTGCGCCACCAGGGAAGCCCTGTAGACTTTTTGATGATGGCCATTCTGACTGGTGTGAGGTGATACCTCATTGTAGTTTTGATTTGCATTTCTCTAATGATTAGTGATGTTGAGCATCTTTTCATGTGTCTTTTGGCCATCTGTATGTATTCTTTGGAAAAATATCTATTCAGGTCTTCTGCTCAATTTTTAATCAGGTTGGTGGCTTTTTCAATATTAAGTGGTATGAGCTGTTTACATATTTTGGATATTAACCTCTTATTGGTCATATCATTTGCAAATCGTTTCTCCCATTCCGTAGATTGTCTTTTTGTTTTGTCAGTGGTTTTTCCGTTGCTGTGCAAAAGCTTTTAAGTTTAATTAGGTCCCGTTTGTTCATTTTTGCCTTTTTCCTAAATTATGATTATTCTAGTTCCTTCACCTTTCCGTATAAATTTAAAAGTCAGCTTACTAATAACGACAAAAAGGTCTTGCTGGGATTTCATTGGAATTGCATTAACTCTGTAGCTCTAGTTTGGGGAGAATTAATGGCCACGAGCCTGGCACATCTTCTTTGATTCCTTGTGATAGCAGTGGGGAGTTTCTAGCATGCAGACTGTGCGTTTATTTTATGAGATTTAGGGATTTCTTTTTTGTAAATGGAAGGTTTTTTAAACACTGACTTCAGTTGTTCATTTTTAGTATATAGAAACATGGTTGCCTTTCATATGTTGAACTGATGTCGTTCAGTCTTGCTAAGCTCATTAGTTCTTGGAGCTCGTTTTCACATTCTCCTACATTCCCTGGGACGTTCTACATAATGATTGTGTTGTCTGCAAATAAGAAGAGCTTTATTCTGTCCTTTCCTATCCTTCTGCCTTTTGTTCCCTTCTCTTTTGTTCCCTTCTCTTGCCCTCTTTCC